AAAAAAAACTTCACTATTTTGTGAAGAATTTTTGTTTGTTTGTTTTTGAGATGGAGTCTCACTCTGTCACCCAAGCTGGAGCATATGGTACAATCTTGGCTCACCGCAGCCTCTGCCTCCCATGTTCAAGCAATTCTCCTTTCTCAGCCTCCCAAGTAGCTGGGATTACAGGTGCCTGCCACTACACCCAGCTAATTTTTGTATTTGTATTTGTATTTGTATTTTTTTTTTTTTGAGAGGGAATATCACTCTGTTGCCCAGGCTCACTACAACCTCTGCCTCCCGGGTTCAAGCAATTCTCCTGCCTCAGGCCCCTGAGTAGCTGGGATAACAGTCACATGTCACCACGCCAGGCTAATTTTTGTATTTTTTAGTAGAGGCGGGGTTTCACCATGTTGGTCAGGCTGGTCTCAAACGCTTGACCTCGTGATTCTCCTGCCTTGGCCTCCCAAAGTGCTGGGATTACAGGCGTGAGACCCCACGCCTGACCAGTAGTATTTTTGTTTGTTTGTTTGTTTTGGTTTTTGAGATGAAGCCTGGCTCTGTCACCCTGGCTGGAGTGCAGTTGCATGATCTTGGTTCACTGAAACCTCCGCTTCCCGGGTTCAAGCAATTCCTTGCCTTAGCCTCCCGAGTAGCTGGGATTACAGGTACGCACCACCACACCCAGCTAAATTTGCACTTTTTAGTAGAGATGGGGTTTCACCATCTTGGCTAGGCTGGCCTTGAACTCCAGCCTCGTGATCTACCTGTCTTGACCTCCCAAAGTGCTGGGATTACAGGTGTGAGCCGCCACACCTGTCCGCCAAGAATTGTATGTTAATTAATGCTGAAGTAATATGTTAGCTACAGTGGACTAAATAAAATATTTATTCGCCAGTTCTTGTCGCCTTTTAGTGTGTGGAGACTGGAAACTCTTGCACTTCACTCCTGAGTCCTGGGTGTTTCTGTGGCCAGCACTGCCGTTGGCCAGACCTGCCCAGCACACAGATGGCTTCCTCCCCAAACACACTGAGAGTCTCGTGCCTGGGTGGAGGGGGCTGTAGGGGTGGGTGGGAAAGGCAGAGGTTTTAGTGTCCCGAGTGGGGGCGGCAGGGTGAGTAGTGAGGGTTCACCATCCTGGGATGATGCCTTGGCATGGAGGAATCAGGGCAGTGGCCAGGCAGTCAAGCCAAAAGGTCTGGGCCATGGACTTAAGAAATGTAGGAAGTAGAGGCTAGGCTCCGTGGCAGACACCTGTAATCCCAGCACTTTGGGAGGCCAAGGTGGGCAGATCACCACATCAGGAGTTCAAGACCAGCCTGGCCAACGTGGCAAAACCCTGTCTCTACTAAAAATACAAAAAATCAGCCAGTCATGGTGGTGGGCGCCTGTAATCCCAGCTACTCGGGAGGCTGAGGCAGGAGAATCACTTGATCCTGGGAAGCAGAGGTTGCAGTGAGCCGAGATCACGTTATTGCACTCCAGCCTGGGCAACAAGAGCGAAACTGTCTCAAAAAATGAAGAAGAAATGTGGGAAGTGGCCAGGTGCAGTGGCTCATGCCTGTAATCCCAACACTTTGGAAGGGATCCCAACTCCTGAATCACCTGAGGTCAGGAGTTACAGACCAGCCTGGCCAACATGGCGAAACCCTGTCTCTACTGAAAATAGAAACATCAGCTGGGTGTGGTGGTGGGCTCCTGTAATGCCAGCTACTCGGGAGGCTGAGGCAGGAGAATTGCTTGAACCCGGGAGGCAGAGATTGCAGTGAGCCAAGATCATGCCATTGTACGCCAGCCTGGGCGACAGAGC